ATCCTGTAAGACTACAACGGGGAGTAAGACAAGGAGACACCATCTCTCCCAAACTATTTACCCTTGCTCTAAAAGATATTTTTAAAAAACTGGAATGGAACAATAAGGGTATCAATCGATGGACCGATCATACTTAAACCACTTGAGATTCGCAGATGACATCGTTTTAGTAGCCGATAATATCCAAGAACTAAATGATATGTTACAACAATTAAATGCAGTTTCAGGAGCGGTAGGCTTAAAAATGAACTACAGCAAAACAAAAATACTGAGCCGAGAGCAGACAAATATAACAATACAAAATCATACCGTAGAAAATGTTGAACATTATGTATATCTAGGTCATGTTATCAAACTAGGAAAACCAAATCAAGATGATGAAATTAAAAGAAGAACAAAACTGGCATGAGGGCAAACTAGCACCTATCTTGAAAAACATCTCTATTCATATAAACTTGAAGAAAAAGGTGTATAACACATGCATACTACCAGTTTGTACCTACGGCTTGGAGACAGTAGCCCTTACCAAAAATCTGCTAAAAAATTAGAAACAACGCAAAGAGCAATGGAACGAATCATGCCTGGAATATCACTAAGAGACAAGATTAGAAACCCGGAGATTAGAGGTAGAACGAAGATTAGAGATATTGTGAAAGAAATTACAAAAATGAAGTGGAGCTCGGCAGGTCACGTAGCCCGATATAATGATAACAGGTGGACACGGAGAATTCCAGAATGGAGACCAAGGACGACAACAAAGAAGACCTCAAAAAAGATGGGTAGATGAGATAAGAGCAATGACCGGCAAACAGTGGATTAATTGGCGCAAGATAGAGAAAGATGGAAGAAATTGGTAGAGACCTACATTCAAGAGTGTATGGAAAATGGTTGAGAAAGAAGAATGGGACCGGCTGTGGTAACCACAAAGTTACTCGATCCACCTCGCAATTACATTAGAAAGTGTTATATATTTTATATCATCGAGTAAATTATCTAGATTTTATATTAGTTACTTGATTTGTTTGTGTTACTCTGTACCTGTGTTATAATGTGTTCTTTGATGCTAACGAAGATAATAGTTTAAATCAGGTTAAAGTTTGATCCGCATAATTTTCCTCTTTTACTACGACGTCTAAGATCCTGATTAAAGATTGTTGTTTATATTTTCCCTCAAGTAAATTTGAGCTGACAATAACTCGTTTCTGCATTAAACTAAAAATATCTAGTTGCATCAAAGTTTACGGTAATTATGCCTGTCCATCATCTTTGCACTTATAAACTTCTGCATCTTTTGTATATATCTTCTAAACAAATCAAAATATACTAACAAAGGTCTTATATACTTTGTCGTGAAAGGAAAATATAACGGCGCCCTTAATCCGCGGTAAACCTTAATCAAAACCATTTTAAAGGATAATGCAGTTTAATAACTCATTGCCTTCAAAGCTGCCTCACAAAACGTTCCAGAAAATAAACTTGAAAGATACGCCGTTTATTGAGATCAATAAGACTGCATTCTAAGAACGACTAAACTTGTTATTGGAAAATTGCATAAATTCTAAACATACTTTTATCGTTTATCGATTTTAATTTTGCATAATATTTAAAAATATACGGAACTTATTTTGAGTTTATGAAGCTTACTTTTACTGTACAATAAAACTCAAACGTCAAAATAAGCACAGAATTTTATTATATACAAATGTTATTTTAGTTCGAAGTAAAAGTAAAATCATTTTTATTCTAATTTTTCACGAACACTTTTTTATTTGTACTTATTATTATCAACTATATAAAGTTACAAGTGAAATAATGTCCTGCACTTGAAGTGAAGTCATGATCTCTATAAGCAGTTACTTATTATATATGGAGCAACACGAGAGCTCAGGCGAATAAGATGGTACCGACGAAGATGGGAATTCCCATTAGAAGGTAGAAAAATTACGTTATTTCTTAAGAATCTGCTGATAAAGGTTTAAGAAGAAATTCTTTCATGATTTAGAAAAAGTATTAGCACCTACAAAGAAACACGATATCAATATTATCATGGGAGATTTTAATGCAAAGATTGGTGAAGGTGAACAGGAAGATATCATAGGAAAATATGGTCTGGGAAAACGAAATGAAAGAGGAGATATGTTGGCATCTTTTTGCGTAGAAAAGCAATTAGTAATAACAAACATAATTTTCAAACTTCCAAAACGTCGTCTTAACACCTGGAAATCACCAGCAGATACAACTGAACGAGTTGTTCGTAACCAAATAGACTTCATACGTATAAATAAGAGATACGGAAATTCAGTATTAGCAGTAAAAACATATCCAGGCGCAGACGTACCAATAGATCACAATATTTTAGTAGGGAAAATAAGACTGAGAATAAAAAGAGTTGCAAAGACGATAAGGAAACAGTTAGTATTGATAGAGAAAAAATGTTAAATGACACTGTAAAACAAGAAATAACTAGTATATTAGAACAAAAAATGAAGTTAACATCAGGCAAAGAGGAAAGTACTGAGGAAAACTGGACGAGAATTAAAGACATCTTAAAGACTGTTCAAGAAACAAAATTGAGTGCGCTAAAAAGAACGCAAGAAAAAAACAACGGTGGATGACAGTAGAAATACTGAGACTTATGGATCAAAGAAGAGAAGTCAGAAATAAAGATAAGAACGAATACAAGAGGATTCACGCAATAATCAGGCAGAAGATAAAACAATTTGTCATTCTTTCAATACCTATGGCTTCTCGGATAATTCTTGGTTTATAGAAGTGGATGATGGCTATGGTACTGGAGTTTACAAAATCAATTTTTTGACCTGTATGAAGATGGTGTTGGCCTAAAGCTGAAATTTGATTGGAATTGCAAAGAGAATTGGAATGTTCATAAATTCTATATTGGATTCTACGATTTTTTTGGCCAATATAGGATCGGGGGCAGTCTGCACAAGGAATTTCATAAATTCAATTATGTTCATCTGGAATTTTGTCTTTGATTAATCGGAGAAAAGATAAAAGTTTTTGTTGGGATTTAAATATTGCCTTTATTCCTCTTAATTTAAGAATTATGTCGATTTTTTCAGTGACACCTTTGATATAAGGAAGAAAAGCTTTTGTGTGACAAGGGTCTAGGTCTTTGGGTTGAGATTGAGTGGGAGATTGATGTCTGTGGATGCTTCCATTGATGTGATTTTCGCTGTAACGGTTTTGGATGAGAGCTTGTTTTAAACTAGAAAATTAGAGAGCTTGTTTTAAACGTAACGATTGGTACGGGTGGGTTTTCGGACAAAATTTATTTATTATAATATCGAGAAACAGTAGAGATGAATACATTTTCACCCCCATCGTGAACTGGATACTAGGATGTATACCATTCAGATTTCAGGTTTGAAAAGACACCAAAGCATCCTTGCCATTGGGCCAAATGACGAATGTATCGTCAACATATCGTGGCTAACGTGTGGTTTTGAACATTGATGTGTATCTATAGTGCTCACGTCTCGATGTCTTCCATAAATTACTGGAGATAGTGGGGCTCATTGGGAGAGATATGTCAATTAAAACTTATTTAAATGACGCAATTATGATTCTATCACACTATTTAATTCTCTTACCTCAGGGTTATACTCGTGCTTCAATATCTATACTTTACATATGATAGGTAAGGTCCAAAGAATACCGGAATAATAAAAAACATATATGATGCAACATTATATATTGAAATAAAAATATATTGAAATAAAATTCACACTCAAATATATTCAATAAAAATATCTCATATAATGATTATCAAAATTTTGTTCTACGTAGAACCTTCAGAAATTGATGGTATATACAATATAAATTAAAATTTTAAATCAAAATTGTTATTCTATGTCTCGTGATTAAAATATTCCTATCTTTTCGAAAGCAATTGTAAAAATTGTGTTGTTGTTAATAAAAAAAAACTGACAAATAGTAAAACTATCTCTCTGATGATGAGTTGTCCAAATCCTTGTTTCTTGTAGCCTACACTATCTATTCTTAGCAGTCCCCTAGGTAATTAGCAATCTTACAACAAATTATTGCGAGCCTCTCGTTTAATGACCTCCTTCAAATGCACGTATCGTTCAAATGATGCTAGCCTCTTCTCCTCTCGATAAACTGAATCTATCGGTCCGGCTTGAACAGTGACTCTTGGAATATAAGTAGAAAAGTAACACTTACAATATTTTACTGGATCAGCTTTCGTCAGATACACTAACTCCACAAAAACTCACAAACATTCACTTCTACTGCTTACTACAACTAGGGAACCACCATAGAACAACGACTGTTCGCTTTGAATTCTTGGAAACAAACTGATTATCTTTTCTTTCCTCAAAAATCTAGCTAACTCTTATTCTTATAAACTATCCCACTTTTTTCAATCTTCTCCAATCAAAGCTCGTCATACGTATCTCCATCTCTTCATTCAGATAACAAACAACAATTTGTACCTACAATTATAAATTTCCTAAAAACTATTTACATGTTAATCGGTTTCTACAAATTCTTAAGAACTAACGGAGAAATATATTTCCTAAATATTCATTCTATTTTCTTATCCACTGTACAAGTCCATTTGGAAAACCCGCTCGCATTGTTCATGGTTTCACTAATTGCACTCATGACACTCAAATATATTTTACAAAAGAAAGAATTTATGCATATCTTTAAAATTTTGTTTACTACAGGTAATCTAGGATAATGGACTTTCTTTTCTTCAAAATATCTTTTATAGTTTATTAGTAGAATTATTTGAATTATTATATTTTGTACTTTGAAATATATTAAGTGATGAATTTACCAATTTTTAACAGTGTAGAGGTTATTTTTATAAGTACCTGAAATATATAAGTCATAAATCACAAACCACCATTACATCTATAAAAGTTGTTCCGTTTTATATGTCTATATGTCGATGTCGGGTGATAATAAAAAGCAATGTAACGTAAAAAATATTTTTTATTATTTTTCAGATCCTCCGCAAGTGGTTCTTCATCTGGGTAATACTCTAAATCCAGAAGACATAAAAGAGGGAGACGACGTTTACTTCGAGTGCAGCATCAAAGCAAATCCCAAACAGCACAGAATCTTATGGTATCACGAAGTAAGTACATTTACTACTTTATTTTTTTTTCTTTCATTTACATTCAACTTTCGGATAAAAGAGAATGCTGAAAGAACTCGCGCATATTTTTCTTTGACCTATTTCAAACAATTTTAACGAAGTGGAATTCCGAGGAATCTCGTAGATAATAATATTGTAAAGTGCTTAATATTTTTTATGTGTAGCAGCATTTAACGGTTAAGGATATTTTAAAATGCCTTTTAGCGTTCAAAAGGGATTTATTTTATTTAATATTAAACAGTGATTAACTGTATTTAATCTCTAATTTTTTTTTATTTTTTTAGGCTTCTTCTATAGGTCGCTTTCTTGTTTCGTTTTCAATAACTTTTAGGCGATAAATCACAAATAAGAGAGAATTTTTAATTAATGGCTTCTACTAAAAAATTCTCTTTCTTCTAGCTGTAGGTCCCTTCCTCCTTTATCCAGGCTTGGGGCCGGCAAAAGTTCTGTCGAGCTACTGGATCCACCCAACAAAACTGCAGGCAGAGCTCCTGGGAATTCTGGGAGTTCCCTACCTGAACGGGGGATACTCTTTTTTCATCGATTCATCGATACTTTGATCCTAGTTATCCTGGAGGCATTTTGAAAATGTAAATCTGAAATAGGCTACTACGTTTTTAAATTAGTATTTTTAAAGCATTTGGGGCTTTTAGAAGATATTCAAAGTAAATTTTTTATGACAAATTCATAAAATGAGCTCTAGAAAACGTTTTCTCAATTATTCTATTTCTCATTGACTCCCCTCTAGTTCAATAATTGTTTAGGCTAGGAAGGTGATTGATAACACATAATGAACATACAGCCAATCAACTTTTTGTATAACCCGTTCGTCAGTTATTTTTTCATTTCTTCTATAAAAAAAATTAGGGAATGCCACATTAAAAATCTGCATTGTTGTCAACTGCTAGGTAATACTTGAAGCAAGCTGATATTTTCGTACCTAAGGAAGCAGTTTGGAAGGTTTAAATGTATCATCGGGTATTAAGAATTAAGAATTATAATTTTATCAACAACTACTTGTGAGCCTAGACTTAAAGTTTGATGCAAGGTTCTTTCTGCTATTTCCATAGATGTCAATCAAGATATATCTAACTTCATCAGTATCATCTCCTACATCAAAAGCTGGTTCATAAATTGTTGCTTGAAAGTTCTTTCTTGAGAGAATTCTAGAGTTCTTCAGCAGGTGCTTCTAACTGTTTTTGAGTTAGTGGATAGTCCGTTTCGAACGTTGGCGATCATTCTGGCTATGATGACTTTGTTGGTTGCTATACGAAATAGCTGTGTTAAGGTCTTTCTATACCATGCTCTCAGGTTAGCAAACCAGGATACTTCTTGGTCCTGAGGCCCTTTTTCCTTTAATTTTACCTTGCAAAATGCATTGAAGTAGCTCGTATCTGCCTTGAGTTCTCATTATATGTTTCAAGTACTGCAACTTACGGCTCTTCACAATGTTGACCAAATCCGCGGTTGTATTCATCCTCCGCAGAACTTCTTCATTGGTGACTTTGTCTATCCATGGTATCTTCAGGATCCTTCTGTATAACCATAGCTCAAAAGCCTGAAGTTTTGATAGAGTTCCCGCCTTTAATGTCCACGTTTCTACTCCATACAGAATCACTAAGTCCAAGTAACATTTAAAGAGCCTTATTTTTATTTCTAAAGTTCTTATTTAAACTTCCTGATGCGTATTTTGAAATTCTAAAAACATTCCCCATACAATATCGCAGATAAAGATTGCGCGCCAAAAACGCTGATAAAGAGCCGTTCCTACTATATGGCTGGTAACCCCTGAAGTACCCTAACTGGCATGCTAGGCAGTACCCACTTCTCCTTGTGCATTCCTATCGATCACACATACAAGTCACCTTCTTTTCCCTCTACTCCTTAGTAGTCCACTACTTCTTAACATCAGGCATCTTTTAATTGACGTTTATCACACCCCCACAACTCCGTTAAAAAAAGGAGTAACTCATTCCTTGAAGAGGCTCAGGCCTAAACAAGGTTAAAACTCGTGTGTCATGTCATGTTTCTAAAGTGAGGTCATGACTCTTGAACAAAGAGCTCATAATCAAGAATGCATTTTTTGCCTTTCCGATGCGACATTTAATGTCTTATGTATTGTCCCACGTCTCATTGATTATAGTTTCGAAGTAGTTGTATTATGAGACACGTTCAATTCTCATTTGGTTCACATTCAGATTTGCTTCCGTGATGTTTCCCTTGCTGATGATCATTAGCTAGGTTTAGTTGGTGTCTATATCCAGTCCATATGTTCTACTTATTTCCGTTATTTTGTTTATTCAGTTTTGCAGCCCTTCTATGGTATTGAAAAACACTATTGTATCATCTGCATACCGCAGGTTATTGAGCTTGACACCATTTATGGAGATGTCTTCATCAATATCTTTTATAGTCTCTTCAAAAATGTGCTCCGAGTTTAGATTGAATATCAGTGGTGAAATTATGCACCCCTGTCTCACACAAGATTTTGGCCTGATCCGTATATATCTTCATCTACTCGGAGCACCGCTGATTGATTCCAATACAGGTTAGCTATTCTCCAATACATCTATACATATCTGAAACAATACCTGCACGCTAAATAAAGCTTCCAACGGTGTTCACTCATCCAAACTAATTGGGCGCAATTTGTTCCTCGCATTTCCTGTAAATTCTTTTGTGGATGACTTTTAAAAACAGCTTCAGCAGATGGCTCATTAGGCTTATGGTTCTATATTCTTCACAAACTTTTGCTCCTGGTTTTTTGGGCAATGGTAATAACTCCATTTTGAACCATTCTACTGGTATTTTTCCTACCTTATATATTTCATTAAATATTTTAGTTATTTTTATTTGTTCTGCATCTAATAGCTTTAACAGTTCTGCGGGAATTTCATCAAGTTCCGGTGCCTTTCCGTCCTTCATTTGTCTGCTTTATTTCTTCTAGTAGGATTTGAGGACCTGAATTTTTTTCAATGGTGGGCTCTTGTACCTAGAACTAAATTTGCCTAATTACATATCTGTTGGTACACATATGCACCCCTTAGAGTTCTCTCTATAACAGATAAATATTACATGCAAAAATAAATTAATAAACCATAATTTGGACTTAACAAAGCATCAGCACTATTCACAAATAAACAACTAAGTAGTAAATGTTTATCACAAAAATGAATAAATCACTTATTTTATTTGCCTTTAATGCCCTTGCGGGTAGCGGGTAGGAACTCCTTTGGATATTCCTATCAGGTAATATGAATCAACCCCTGCCCTCCGCAGATTCCAGGTGTTTCCTGACCCGGGAAACTAGTATCTGCTTAGGGTTCATTGTCCAGGGTCACGGATGGCCAGCGTGGTGTTTTAAGGCTAAAAATACCTTCTAATAGTTGAAACAAAAAGAATATCTTTTGAGACAAAACAAAAGAGACACTGCAGAATTTAAGAAACTTTGTGGGATGGGCAGCATTCGGAAGACTCTCATACGTACTTAAAAATAAAAATATACCTCAAAGGCTGCGAACCAAAGTATTCAATTCCTGTATCCTACCTGTGCTTACATATATGGAGCTCAAACCTGGACGTTCACTAAAATAAACATGGAGAAGATCAGAAAAATTCAGAGAGCTATGGAACGACAGATGCTGGGTATCTCACTAAAAGACCATAAAACCAATGAAGACATTCGTAATAGAACAAAAGTAAAAGATGCTGTCGAACAGGCAACTAAACTGAAATTGAAATGGGCTAGACATAAGGAATGTCTTAAGGATGGCCAATGGAATAAAGAAATCGGGAATTGGCGGCTATATGAAGCCAAAAGACCACGAGGAAGACCGCAAATGCGATAGAGCAACGATATGTAAAGAACTGCAAGGTCAATGTGGAAACGTCTTACACACAACCAGGGATGGATGGCGAGAATTAGGAGAGGCCTATATTCGGCAATCCGAATAGAGAAAAGGGATTAAAAAATTGCCTAAATATTGAATTTTGTGTTAGCAGTCGGCCTGTAATACTTAACATAATTGTAAGCACGTGCTAATTAAATAAAACAGCGTGAAATTCTCTGTACTGTTGTAGTCTGTACACACTGCCGAAACTTAAAACTGTAACGATATATTTTGCTTACCTCAGGGTAAGAACATGGGGTCGAAAATTGGGGACAGAAATTAAGGCTTAACCCCCTAGTTTCTGTCACCAATTTTCAAGGAGCAAACAAAATAATCGTACTGGTACGTACGGCACTCAGGGGGTTTGTTGGAGAGCTGGGTCGTGGATAAGTTGAATCAAATGGGTCAGATTGGGGTAACTACAAAAAGAAACAAAGGGATACTTACATAAATCTCCTGGATCAAAAACGAACAAGATATGGCAGACAAGAATTACCTCTAGCTATTTTCTTATTGGGACGCCACTTCGAGAAAAACTTCCTGCTAGAAGAAAGAAGAATTCTTCTTTCCTAAAATCAAGAATACATACAAGTGTTAGGAGACTTTTCTAAATTATAATAAAAAATGGATCAGAGAAAAAAATCAAACGTTTCTTTTTGCCTCAAACAAACAGTTATCAAAAATACAGAGTGCACAAAAAATATACTATATAACATACCTAATACAAAATTAACAAAAACTTACGTGTTTATCTGTTTACAAACGAGATTGCTACAAAAATTTTTGAAATGGTTCATAGGTTATTTATTAATATGGCCAAAATAGATTATTAAAATTAAGTATATCCTTGCAAATGAAAATATCGTAAAATTTAACTTTTTCTATGAAGCATCATTCTTTTCTATATAATAATCAAATTAATAAATATAAAGAATAAATTATTACATTTTTTTAGCCACGCCTGTAACATAATGTATAATTTTAATTATTACAAATTTTTTCATTTTTAATAAAAGCAATCATTAAAAAAATGTTTATTATACTTGGAAAAATTAATATATTGAATGTTACCTTAATTTCACTTATTTC